ACCATACAAATTGTGGCCGTGGCAGATGGTCGCGCCCAACGCTCCGGCAAAACACGCCGGGCGCTCATGCGCATAATGAAAAGCATTCTCAAATACAATGCACAACGCAATAAGTCCATACTGAAAAGACGCGGCCTTTACAGCAGTTGTGGCTCACTGCGTGCGTAAACTGCGAGACGGCATCCACACAACAAACCCACACACCGCCAGCAGCCACACACCAATGGACAAGAACAAGAAGAGACACACCGCCACCGCCTCCAGTTCAATCCCACGGCCAACGAGACACGGCCACAGCCCCAAAGCCAACAAATATCGCACACGGAGCAAGCAATCACCCAAAGAGACACACGCAGAAGCGGATCCTCATCCATCCATGACGCGGCGTCACAGTCCACGCGGTCACACGGAGTGTACTGTTTCCCCAATAGAACTTATGCATCGTCCAATCCCTTAAAGATGTTTCTGTTTGTGATGGGCCTTAGAACAAAATAGAAGAAAATGGACAATGCAGTAGTACTGCGACACCGCCAGCCACAATGATTCCCTCATACCGTGGCAATTCTCCAATTATGCCTCGTATACACACACACAATAAACATACTATATAAAAACAACCCAATGTTTTTCACCAGAAGACAAACAACCCCACTCCCTCCCTAATTTATTCTGCCACTGTTATGTTCGATAGCGTTGGACAGTTCTGAAATCTGTGCGATATACTGTCACCTGGTGCTGGTGCATCCGCACCGTATGCACACAAAAAAGTATCCAAAAATATATAAATCCCACAATATTTTTTTACCAGAAATCAAAACTACCCCTTTCATTCCTCAATTCGTTCTCCTATTTCGTTTTTCCTCACTTCAGAGAGCTTCGTTCCTTCTGGCATCGTCCGACGATATTGCTGCCATGTACTGGTGCACCTCTTCCTCCCAGAACGCCGCAATCTCTCGGTTTTCAGCGCGGCTCACATTATTGGAATTGTCGACATCACATCCCTGCCAGTCATTCATCGGCGTGCTGTCTGCGTGCTGCACATAAATCATCTCCCACGACATGTCTCGGGAAGATTCCTCCCAAGCATTAAAATATGCCGCCAGGCGCTCAGTGAACTGATTCACAGTGCTGGTTGTCGTGCGGTGCCCACCCGCCGTAGCCATCCGCAGCCCAACGAGCGTCTTCGGATTTGAGTCCACAAAGAAAAAGGCGTCCACCAGCGGAAAGTTTGTGGCCCACGGTTTGTACAGCACCCAGTGGTCCATAGCAACCGGATTGGAAAGGCGTTCCGGTGGCGGTAGAACCTCTTTTCTTGTGAAGCTCGTGTCTGAGTGCTCTTTCAGCGCACAGCTGTGTGGCTCACGTCGTCCTGGTGGCCTCAGTTCCTTGATGTTAAGTCTTATCGCACGCAGGAAATCCTCATTCAAAAATGCGGATACGGCACACTTTTCAATAAGATATGGTGGGACATAATCCCAGAACCTCAAAACAAAAAAAATAAAATCGGACTGCTTCATTTCATTCTCCAACCCGGACAATATTTCGCGTTCGAGGTGAGGAGATATCAGTACATTCAGAGGCAACTCAATGCTGTTTCCTCGTCGTACTCGGACAACCCTCACAAGCTTTCGAGACAAGTCACTGTCATTGGACGAGTAACAGCAGCCAATACCCAAATTGCGCTCCAATTCCGAGGCGGTCGACCCACCCACGGCCTGCTGACACGCTTTAATGCGGTCATCACATGCCTGTTTGCCAAAGATGAAGCGGAGAATTGGTCCCACGTTATTCATGCGGCCCCTCACCTCCTTCCAGTATTCCGCTTGCTCCTGCAGAGGCCAATTGCGCTTCATCCAAATGCACATTGCCCTCACATCGTTTTCTTCGGGACAATTCGTTACGATTGCAGTAGCGTCCATTTTTTTTGTCCACCGTTCATATTCGTTTTTGTTTGGTTGTGTCACCACAATCATGCCCCATCCCTTGCAAGGCAAACCGGCAGGCGGTTGACGAGATGCCAATGTCGCATCGTAGATACAATACCCTTTCACCCCACGCAAAGAAGAAATGTTTACAAAATCATCAATCCTGGGGTCACCCTTGTATGTTGATATCGTTTTGGTGTTCTTGTCAAACACGTACATCGTGCTTCCACCAAAACTGTACGCAACCATTGGGAGCTGCTCCGCATCGTAGTGCAGCAGCTGATAGAGGAGGTACGAGCCGGCATTCATCGACTTCCCGATCCCGGACGTCCCAATCAACACACGCTGCTTGGGCTTAAAGTGGGTCCCACGTTGACTGCTGAACCACTCGGTGAGATCGCCCTTGACGATCTGCCACGCTCGCTCCACCTCACAGTTCACATGGCAGTCACGAATAAATTCATTCCCCTTCCAAGAATACGGCCATCCCTTGTCCGAGGTGAGCACCATCAGTCTGTGACGCTCTGCACCGGATTGCTGCACACCGTCATTCCTTTCGCGGGTGTCGCCAACTGCCCTGTAGGTCCATGACTGTTCTGGTTCCCCCTCCCTCACCTCCATTCCCGTCCCCTCGCCGTCAGGAACTTCCACGACATGGTGCCAACTCGCATTGTACACAGACTCGTAATATCCCTCCAGCACCGTTGATTTAACCACGGACGTTGATATCTGCACCTGAGTGAGGGCAGCGTCTAGTGTTCCCTTTGCAAGAGGACTGACCGTATCCTTTCCTTCATAGTCCCTCCATTGCTCAAGAAAGTCCACACCCTCGTGGTGAAGCCTGCGTACAGCTTCTTCCAAATCCATTTCCTCCCTCACAGTCCCCTCCATCCTCGCATAAGCATCTGTTGCCTGTATTTCGCCCAATACTCCCGCATCGTGGATATGCCTCGTGGGGTCCTTGAAAAACTCCCTCAACAAGGCATTCCGATTGGTAGCCAAAATGCCTTTGCCTTCCATTTCCAGCGTAAGAAAATCGTTCATCTTTATTTTCATGACGCGAACTCTTCCTTTAAACAGTACATCTTCGATCGTATTAGTTAGGGTAAATCCTACTTGTTTTTCCCGCACTGCCCTTTCTCCTGCCTCCCGCCTTTCTCCTCTCAGTACCTGAGTGAGAACTCTGTTTAGTTTTTCCCTTGCAAGAGGAGCGACCGTATCCTTTCCTTCATAGTCCTTCCATTGCTCAAGAAAGTCCACACCCTCGTGGTGAAGCCTGCGTACAGCTTCTTCCAAATCCATTTCCTCCCTCACAGTCCCCTCCATCCTCGCATAAGCATCTGTTGCCTGTATTTCGCCCAATACTCCCGCATCGTGGATATGCCTCGTGGGGTCCTTGAAAAACTCCCTCAACAAGGCATTCCGATTGGTAGCCAAAATGCCTTTGCCTTCCATTTCCAGCGTAAGAAAATCATTCAGCTTTACGTCCATGACGCGAACTCTTCCTTTAAACAATACATCTTCGATCGTATTAGTTAGGGTAAGTTCTACTTGTTCCTCCCGCACTGCCCTTTCTTCTGCCTCCCGCCTTTCTCCTCTCAGTACCTGAGTGAGAACTCCGTCTAGCTTTCCCCTTGCAAGAGGAGCGACCGTATCCTTTCCTTCATAGTCCCTCCATTGCTCGAGAAAGTGCACACCCTCGTGATGAAGCTTGTACACCTGGTATGACGGCGATGCCGTTATTAAGCCCAATATTTCACTGTCGTTAATAAACATCGTGGGTCTCAACACAAACATCTCCATAGCGACGTTCTCATTGGTGTCCACAACGCCTCTGCCGCCCAAGTTGCTCCGAAGGAAATCGTTCAGCATCATTTCGGCCATGTTAGTGCTTCCCTCCAGCAGAATGTCCTTCACGGTGCTGCTCATGGTCCACTGTGGTCGATAAATTCCCTCCAATCTTCTGCGAGTCGTAGAGGAGTAATCTGTGTCACCCTCAAATTCCGACCTCGTTCTCCTCCGACCTCCCTGCGAGACATTGGACGATTGACTCTCCAAATTGCCGTAAAGTCCTTCCTCGGGCCTTCCAGACATCGTTTCTTCTTGCTTTCTTAGTTAGTTTGAGTTAGATCTAAACAATAGCCACCAAACAAGAAAGAGGAATGAGAAAAAAAAGACAACAGACACAGTCATGAATCGAGGCCACAAGAAGAGACTCACCCACACAGTGTGACGGCGCAGTATTCGATAAAAACCATATGCACGGAGACCACCACAACGATATATGGATGCCATCCACCCAGCACAGTGTTGGAGAGAGCCAACAATAATAGCAACGTGGTGCGCACGGAGGGTTCGTCCACGCATACCGCTCGCCACGGTTCCGCACCCCTGTGGCACCGCCGTCACCGCACACACTCTGCAAGAGGACGTGGGCACATCGCCACGGGCACAAACACACAGAAACAAGTGGGAAGTGTATTCGGTGCAGCAACAGCCACATGCAAGAACCCCAAATCGTAAACTCCACCAACAGCGATGCATCATGGTAATCCCCCACAGAACAAAAAAGAGTGCAACTTGCATGCTTTATGGAAAATATCTGCGGTGTGTATGGCAAGAGAGTGCCGTGACGCTGCCTTTCATATTGCATTCACCATTCACGTATCACTTGGAAGCACGCAGCCACTACTCCTCCGCTCCGCTCCCCGTGCTGCTCGTGTCGCTCCACTGGAGGAAGTTGTCACCGCACATCCCCCTCACCGTGCATTGCGGAATACAAACCTACCACACGGCATAAGTGCGGTGCCACCCCGCCAATAAATCCCAGGAAACTCCCCACTGCATCGTGTGGCACGGAAGGCAGTGTCGTTATGCCTGCAGAAGGCTTTTTTCCAAACAAGAACGCGGCCCCACCAAACGCCCGTAAAAACGTTTGGTCCGTCGCACGCAAAGGAGCTGAGCGGGAGAAAAGCAGGAAAGGCAACACCGGCAGCCATGAGCAGTACGCACACGCCAACACACCGCTGCCCCGCATATCACCAAAAATAAAAATAACAAAGAAACTTGTCACATCCCAAATACAAATCGCGGGTGCGGTTGCAGCACACACTCCCACCTCCTGGGCGTGTGCGGCCCCTCGCTGCTCGGCGCTCCAAGTGGTATCAACAAAAGCACCAATTCGGGAACATTCGACCACCGCCACAGCAGTCACGCTCCCCATTTCTCACAAAGGCAAAGGCTTGCGGCGGTGCAGCGGCGCAGCGGACGGCAGCATGCACAGTCGCAGGGTAATGGACTGCCGCGGGAATCACGCAACGGCGATGCGCCCCTCCTTTGGGCCGCCCAACAAAAAACATGTGTCGCGCAGTCCCCGTGAGCAACACACATTGAACCGTATTCAGCTCCACTACTGTGGCCATCCGCACTCACAGCATGACTGCGGCAACGCAGGCCAGGAAGCACGAAATAACACCACGCATCCCTCCCATAAAGGTCAGGAGGCGTCTGTGCTGTCTTCAACAATAATTCCACCCCACATCGCCCCTCTGCATATCCGCAGCAAAAAGGCCCACACGGTGTACACTACATTAAAAGTTCCTAAAGCGGCAAAAGACGGATCATCAGAGCGCTGCACTCATCTCAACGTTGGGTAGAGGCTCTCTGATCCTTGTCGCCGCCAGCCTGCGGTATCATGGAGTGGCATTGCGTTCTCGGCATATCTCTCCATTTACTTCACTTTCCCGACGCCGCAAATGAAGTGACGTCCCACAAGTGATTTCGACCGGTCTGAAGAACGTGACGTATCAGACGCGCTGAAACTGTGTGCGCGTGTGCGTTATTACTGGCGAGCGACACGATGCTCTCGCGCATCCATGTAATCCGATCCTGCGCGACACCCCATTTGGCGGTGCTGAAAACGTTGGACACCAAACACGCACAAATCGCACAATGAATGCCTCTGGAAAAAAAAAAATAACGTCAACACAGACACAGTAACAAAACAAACAAAAGGAATCCAACCTCTGCGCGTCCTCCCGCAAGAAGGTGAAGACACACACGCTTGTCCCCTTAGCTTCACTCCAACTGCTCAAAAGTTGATAGGTCCATGGCAGGAGGATCACGCTACTCCTGCCTCGCTCCCTGTCACGAAGCATGGCACTGTGCATATCCAGTGCATCTGCATCACCCACATACGTCCCTTTGGGGCATCGCCTCGAGAGTCACCAAGCACGCGCCGCTAGAAAGTGTACTCCCAGTCTATGCTGCTTCTCCTGAGCGACCTTGCTGCCTTGCCGCACAAACAAGTCCACAATTTACGCATTATGACTGCAGACACGTGCCAGTGGGGATCCCCGCCCTTTCCCTCAGCCTTGCCAAGGGCGTGCGCCGTACAAATGCCGGTCATGGGGCAGACACACACAGGCGCCGATACCCGTTACAGAGCGTGAGACACTCGCCGCAGAATGAGGCGCCGCAGGTCTCCGCTCACTGATCCAGATTGACCACCCTGAAGCCCACGATTCCCGTGGGTTTGGCATCCCGATGGGTCGTCGTGACTCGTTGACCCCCATGATGGAGGAGTCCCAAGCAAGCAAGAACCAAAAGCCTGGACACTCTGTGGAGTTAAAAAGATAGAAAACACGGACTGGCGCGGGCACAGCTAAGCGCCATGGGAGAAACATCTCAGCTCATCCCATGGAAAACACTTCACCAACGTCACTGCAACATTGGCCTCTTGCTTCGTGGGTGTGTCACTCCTCCCTTCACTCCGTGCCAGCCTCCGTTCAATTCCCCGCCCAGCAGTACTACACGTCACACGGCGCTGCTTCCGCACAATCACATCTCGCGGTCAATCATCGTGACGCACCGCCAACTGCAGTCTCATCCAACCTCGAAAGCCCTCGCACCCTCTTCCGCCCTCCTGTGTGTCGAGAGGAGACGCCTCTCTCGCGGTCTTCGCGTCCTCCCCAATAAAGCTCGGGTGTTGTGCCCAAACATCACCGGGTCTCTTGCCAAGAAGGAAACCGTGTGCGACGTGACCAATGTGAGCATACACAAATTTAGAAAACGGTTTATAGGCTCTCTGGAGTGCCCTGCGTGCACCCGCATGTACGATGGGAACACACACGGTGCGAGTCGGGCGAGATCGCCGGTCCACCTCGCATCTCCGCCAGGTGAGTCGTTGACGGCTCCATCCCGCTTCACGACAGGTCAAACAACAGTGCACAAGTAAGTGCGCCGTGCTCTGCATTCACATGTGGTTCGCCTTTTGGGTCCAACGTCGTCAGGTGGTGTAAAGAGACGAGTCGCATTATCATTCCTCCATTTGCTGCTGCTGCCGCCTCATTTCCCGTAAGGAGCCACTGACCCCTCTCTCTTTGGCGATAAAGGGTCCTCACGCATGGGATGCATCCTGCCTCGTGTGGCATTAGAAACAGCAGAGAGTCCCCAACGTTGCCAATGCGGGATTGATCGTCCAGTGCGGTGAATACAACACGCTAGATCTGTCGGAGGATCGCCGCGCACACTTCAGTCCGCCAGTGGCGGATACAATCCTCGGGCAGCCACACCTGTGCAGAACAGAACACCCTTTTGGAGAACGCCGAGCAGCTCCACCGACGTGTCGGAAAAACTCACAGAAAGAGGGCCGGTCAACCTGCGGCACATTACCGTGCAACTTTAATACCTTGACATCGAGAAGAGTGTTTCTACCTGAGAGCGTTCGCCCCATCATTATCATCATCACTGCTCAAATCATCTCAACAGGCAACAATGGCATCGCTCTCGTATTGCTCATGCCCGTTGTCCTCCTCCACCCGCCGCATCACGTCCGTATGAATAAAGTCTCGTCATGCACAGCGATGCGCCCCCTCGCTTCAGATAAATACCAATATTTTATACTCACCAAGGTAGCAGTTCAGTTCTCCCTCCACAGGCACACTCATAGAGGACGTCCTTCTGTTCCCTTTGCCGAATCAACGCACCGCACCCAGTGGATAAGCCCTGGTAGTTCCACCAAAAAATAAGTGTTCGATTCCCACAGTAGCGAATACTCTGTGTGATATGGAACGCACAGTTTGTTGTGCTAGTGCACCGCCTCGACGGCCGCCTCGCAATGATGCAAAGGTGTCATTGCCCCTGCCTGGGTGAGGCCTAAGCCCCACATTACACGCACACAGAGAAGCACACGGCGCATTTGAAAATGTGTTAATATTTTTCACGGCACATCTATGGGAAGGAGCACCACCCCCGTATGCATGTTGGCAAAGCAACGGCCCCACAACAGCGGCGATAAAAACACGCATCCAGAAACAGAGGAAAGAGAAGAGGGGTGTGGAACACCCACAAGAAATGATGGATAGCCCATTTAAAAGCGGCAGCAAAGAAAAGGAAAGAAGCAGCAGCAGCAGCAGTACTGGTGGTGACCATCATTTCCTTTTTTTTCCCTTCACTCGCTAATGACCCAAACACGTGGGGTTCAAAAGTCCTCTTCACACAAAATTGTGCGGCAGTTAGCCTCTCTCCAACCAGCCGCCTCAATACACCTAAAAGTGCACACAAGGAAACCACAAATAGCCATGGGAAAAAAAGAGAACAATAAAAGATCCCATGGCATTAGTAAGGAGGCGGGGCGACACGCTTTTCGCACAAGTAGTCGTAAAGTCGGCCAGAGCAAAAAAGATCCAGGCCCGAGCAAACTCGGACCTCATAGGCGGTTATTGTGCTTCTTTGAGACTTTTCTGCCGGCTCCTGTTTCACCCGAAGAAAAAGGGCTGGCGGAATGTGATGCTCGCCGCAAAGAGCTTCTGCATCGGGGGCCAACAAAACAAATCCTCGCATATTGCGGATGTCAGGTGGGCCACCCCACCGCATTTCCACGTCATTGTCGCTCGCATGCGCACGTGCGTCTCTTGACGTACCCCGTCGTTCCTCAAGAAGCCTTTCCACAGGAGTCTTCAAATGCAGTAGACGCTTGAGAGCAACAAGCCAGGCCTCGCAGTCGCTGTCAGTCTCACAAACACTTCCAGTGATTTCCCACCGCGAAGTAAAAGTGCGAATGCGCGGTGGTTGTTTGTTCCAAGGCTGGACGAAGTGATGTTTTGCGTGGGATCATGGCGGTGCGTCCCATTGTCAGAAACTGCCTCCTGGCGTGTCTTTGCCAGCTGTGCCTCGCCGCTGTAGTTCACAAATGAGTTTGTGGACAGGCCGATGAGAACTTTTTCGATTTCACATATCCACATGGTGACTGGAGGGCGTTTGCGATTTAACGGGAATCCCTGATGGTCCAGCTCACAGGAATGAATACGTTTGCAGTCCTCCGAGAGAAAATATAGGCGTCTGCGAGCATTGCCCTTGCTCGGTATCTTTTTCACGCAGACCCCGTTGCGTAATTAATTCAGCACCTGATCCACAACAGAACTGAGGTGGCGCTCCGTTGTCTCGGCATCATGCAGTTTTCCATTTTTCTTTGCCACGTATTCATCACGCATACGCTGTCGATACACCTCGAGTCCTCGTCCCAGCTTCTCCTTGCGGGCCCATTCCTCTTCAGCGCTGGCCAAGTATGTCTGTACTTATTGCGTGAAGACCTCGTCAAACTGGCATCGAATGATGTCCGTCTCCTCCGGATTGACAGGAATGTCCTCAAGGGAAATGAGCTTCGGCAAATACTCCTCGATCGTTTTGATGTCGGCAACAAGAGCCCTCTCGGCGGCGTCCTCCCTGGCTGTCGCCTGCTCGCAGTTCTTCTTCCGCTCCTCGGCCAAGGGACGCACCGGTTCCGGGACTTTTGCATTCATTTCCCTAATCTGATGAATCCACTGCCTCCGCTGGCGACACCGCTCCTCCCGGACGGTCCTTCGCATCGCCTGAATGGACTGCCGCTCCCGCATGACGGCCTCTCGCCCCCTCGCCCCGTCAAGTTGAAACCTCTCGAGTTGCTTCTTCTTCGTCTCAGTGGCGCTATGCCGCAGGCCGAGTTCCTGCTCCAGCTGCTGCGTCGCCTGCCGCAACCTCTCCGAGGCACTCTCCTCGTCCTCTTTCCTCGTTCGGATCTTCTCCACCGTATGCCCGTACTCCCAAATGCGGCTTTCGCGGTCAGCCTGCAGAGCAGTGCTCTCCCGCTTTTTCGCCTTCAGAGCCCTCTCAAGTTCATCCAACGTGGTCCCACCTCTCCGCTCAAGCTCTTTGGCCATCTTCTCCGCCTCATGCTTGGCGCGC